TAAAGATCGAAAGCCGCTAATGTGCAGATTACCTAGTGAATGTCCAGATTAACAAATTTGCTCCATTATAGTGTCAAATCAAGAGTTTTCCGCATTTTAACTAGGTAATCTTCCCAGTAACATTTTCCGTTTCGTTAAAGTTCAAAAGTTTGCTTCTCTCATTTACTTTCTGTTCGGAATTTTAATTGAACGTTGACTTATATCCCAGAATAATATACAGCCTCCAACAATATAGTTCGGTGAATGAAGTCAGAACGGGCGATCTGATTACACTGGCGAAACACAACGCTGCACATGCATAGCGGCTGGTGTTAACCATCTGCCCTCACAATTGTTCAGTAGAGCGTCGTTGTGTTCCATGTAAGATCAGTTTTGCAAAGTGCTTGTGTGAAACATTTAGTGGTATTGGTAAACAATGTTACTTATAAGTGATAATATTGCTCTCACCCTCCCTTAAAAAGCATGGCAGTAAAAAGGAAAACATAAATGATGTGATAAATATAAATAATCCCACTCACCCTTAGCAGCTATCACTTTCATTAGTATGAGAGTACTAACTGTAATTACATAAACATCCGTGATCAATTAGCGTATTCATTTGTCTTCGAGATCGAAGAAATAAGATAAATACTCCCTATCTTCCTTATGAAGGTCATTCTAAACTTATTTGCATTGAACTCCTACAGAAAACATAATCCTTTTCTTATTTTTCAATTCCTACTATTAGTTCACACTCTCCTTATATCTTGTTCAAATTTTCAATATTTAATAAAATACATTTTAAAGCACTCAATTGAGCTGAAATTTTATAAACACGATTATTTTGGATGACAATACGGTAATTTCATGAAAATTAACAAAAATTAGTTTATCAAAACTAATTATTCAAAGAATTGCAGGTACAGCAACATTGACATCATTTTTGGTGACTTAGCAACCATTTTGGTAACGTGTCAAAATTTTAAAAGGTTTTTTCCCCCACATTTTAAAGCGCTCATTTGAGCTAAAATTTTCTATACACGGTTGTTTTGGGTGGCAATACGATAATTTAATTATAATTAATTAAAATTAATTGCCTAAAACTAATTATTTAAAGAATTACACATACATCTACGTTGGCTTCTTTTTTAGCGACTAGAGTCAAAACTTTTCAGTTGAACAGAAATCTTATATACACGATTGTTTTGGATGATAATACGATAATTTAATAATAATTAATAAAAATTAACTGCCACTTAATATTGTTATTCTATTATATGTATATACATATTTGTATTAATTGCAATTATTTAGAAAAAGTAAATAAAATAAAAATTTCTTTGTTGGCCTAAGTATATATATAGGAAATGATTTTTTTTAAAAAAATTTATGTTACTTGTTTATCATATTTTCATATATAGAGCCTACACACACCGTACTCACCAAAAACTTATCATAAAAAAATTGCATAAGTTAATAAAAAAAAATCAATTCTGGCACTCTAAAACTTCTCGGCCGTAAAATAAAATTGCAAAAAACTATTTGTCACTTTTCCTATCGATCAAAAACCTTTCACACATCAAATATTCAAAAGATATCAATATTAAATAGCTTCTAATTTTCAGTAGCTTGCTTTTATTCACTTATTTTATAAAATTTCTTTTTTTAACCATTAGTTTCCAACAATGAAATTGTTTAAAAATATCTAATCGATTTTAATTAATTTAGTGCTGAAAGAACAAAGTAAAAGCAATCATAGGAAAATTAATTAGCATGCACTCAGGAAAAAAAAGAGAACAGTTATCTCTCTCTTTCTCTCTCTCTCTTTCTCTCTCTCTCTCTCTCTCTCTATATATATATATATATTAAATATATATGTATACATATAGATAAAAAAAATTTCGCATTATTTACGAATCAAATCAAGTTTTTTTATTAATATTGCTCGTAATTATTCGTCTGTAATCATATAATTTGATACTGCATTTTTTTACATTCGTTGTGAAGAAAACATCTTTACTCAAAGTAGTTTAAACGAGATATTTGAGTAAAAATCACTAAATCAGTGTTATCTTTCAGATAAAAGGTAGCATTTATTCATCATTTCCGAGATGTGATTTTTTTCAAAAGGAAATGAAATGCATAAAAAAATACTTTTCATAAGATTAGATTCGAAAGAGAAGGGAATTAAATCATTATTTATCTTTCTCTCATTTTTATCCTCTTATTAAAATCATCTATTTTGCTGTAACTAGTTTTGAATTGCATATTACAAACAAACTATTTCTCTCTCAACTTGTATTTAACCCTTTAACCAGTTTGCCCGTACGAGCTATCGAAAATTTACTGCACCCAGTTTGCCCGTATGCTGAACGGGCACTGATATATTTTTTTTCCTTCTACCTTTGATTATCACTTATTTTTAATTTTTATAGTGAGGTTATTAGTGTTGTTATTACCAATGTCACCCGATCGGCAAAGGCCCACGAAATTCATCATGGCAAAAGACTAAGTGACGCCTGTCGTTAGTCATAGCTTTGAGCACCATACAGGTGACACAACGATTTAACTCGTTTTCGCTCCAATTATGAGGGAGAACACCCTCGGGGTGGTCAGGGGCCTCCCACCTCTCTTCCTCTAATCTTACGAGAGGACTTGTAGCTCGACGGCTGTTTAAAGTACCCCCATGCCGTGAAGGCAATATACATTTACAAACATCCATGTGTGACAAATCTATACGGAACTTTATCACTAACCTTCTGAGTCGTCCTTTTTAGGGAAATTTAATTCCCTACCTATTTCCAATCAACTTCAAAAAGAGGACAGGATTCCTTGTTATGTAGATTAGATAAAGTATTTAAGTTAAACGGAATAGTAAAGTGAGAGCAGTAGGAGAAAGAGATTGAAGCAGAAAGTTATAGTGAAGTTAAATTGAAGATTTCTTGTTGGATAATTTAATCTCAGAGAAGAGCTGAATTACCGTGTGGTAAATATTACTTAAAGTCTCATTAAAATTTATTATTACGAGTGAGATTAAAATTAAATGTTCAATAAGAACATTGAATATAATTCTGGGATCTCTTATCGTGGTAATCTCTGCGTGATCGATATTTTAATTGTTAATTAATTGGATCATTAATTATTTAAGTTAATTTAAAGGATATTACCTTTAAAACCTCATAATACTAGTTAGATATATTTGTTAATAAGTCTTTGATTCTATTTGGATAAGATAACCAAATAAAGAAAGTTATTTATAAAAATGGCTACTGGTTCTTATCTGACTCCTATTTATTCTCGTTCTCAAAGTGAGGTCCTAGGAGATCATCACACATGTCTTCTCCGGGATTCAAACCCAGTCCCAACGGTACAACAGTCAGCGTCGCTAACCACTATACCGGATGGGCGACAGGTTATTAGTGTTGGTGTTTTAAGAGATATAGTTTGCCCATGGTACTGAAATATTTTTCAACCTGAATTTTCTTTGTGAGGAAAGTGGAATTTTTTCTTTGAACGCAGGGGATTAGAGAGATTTTTGAAAATGTTCGATAAGTAAAAGAGATTTATAAGACAATGAACAGTTTGTTGCTTGAGAAGGAATTTAAATGGAAACATAATTCAAAGCAAATCCGATATATTTCTTCCCTGAGTGCAATGTAAGAATTTATATTACACCATGCTCCAAGTGTTTGTGTATACTATACATATGCAAACACCCACACAACCCCTCAAACGTTAGAAAAAAGAGGTACGAACATGAAAATTGTTTTAAGTATGAGAGAAATTCTTTTAAGATGTATGAAACCTTCTTCAGAATGTGCAGAACGTACTTATAATAAGCAAACATTAGGATTTTTGTGCTCCACAACTAAAAAATAAAAAAAGTGGGAAACTTTAAAATTAAAAATTAAAATTAAGTTCTTCCATTTTTTCATTCTACTAAGTATTATGCTTAGTTATACGCAATAAAAAAAAATTTCCTTTTTCAAAGCATTTTGGACAAAAAAATTGACCGTTTATAGTAGTGGTATCCAACCCCCGATCTATGGACCGGTACAGGTCCATGGATCAAATGGTACCGGGCCGCCAAAGGAGCATTATAAGTTATTTCTATTTTATTTACTGCAGTGTATTTCTCTCAGGTTTTTGTGACTTTCCATAGAAATCACTTTATATTCCATGCTAAGTCCTTTAATATTTGTTTTTTGGTGCAACTGTATTTTACTCTGAAGGCATGCTTGAATACAATAAAATTAAAATTATTAAAATCAAAACAATCTGAAATATAAACAACCAACGTGCACCCCCACCCCCCGTCCTCAGTGGGCCATGGTAGAATTATCAAACGTTGACCGGTCCACGGCGATATAAGGGTCGGGGTGCACTGGTTTAAGGGATTAAATTTCTTGTGAAAAATATGTTTATAGTTATAAAGGTATCAAAATCTATTTTAACCAGAGGAACAAGTTTCAATGTATATTTATGAAATTAAAAAAATTATTTTAAAATATTTTTGAAAGTGAAAATAATTAGAGAAGTGCTTTTTTAAATTAAATACCATGACGAAAAAGTATATTAGCTGTCAAAGAATTTATAAGTATGTATGTAAAGAATATTTTTTAATTTATCATGAGTGAAAAACAAATAATCCTATGAAAGTAATTTAAAGATGTGTTAAAATTTTAAAATTTTTCGCTGCTTACAAATTGCGCTCTTTAACAAAAAGTAACATAAAAAGGAAATTTAAGTCAATTCCTACTTACGTCAACACAGAAAATTTTATTTTAGTTACTTTTTGTTAAATAGTTACAATTAATATAAATATGTATATACATGTGACAGAATCACAATATTAAGTGACGAAATAGAGAAAGCAATTTTCCTGGCAAGTTTCCATTTTCTTTTATATATATGGCGTTAGACTATTTTATTTGTTACTGTTTATTAATTAATTAAATTAAATTAAATTATTCTAATAAAATAGTATAGTAAAAAAGAACTGCCGTTCTCAGGAATTGGGCCACCCCAGGTGGGATTCGAACCCACAACCACTGGATCAGAAGTCCAACGCACTATCCACTGCGCTACAAGGATACAACGAACGATTTTCCTTTCTACATATGCTGTTGGATTATTTTTGTTTGTAAAAATTTATTCATTTTTTTAAATTTAATTAATGAATTAAAATTTGAAAAAACTGTGTCATCATCATCATAACATCAAGTGTCATCCACTACAAGTTTTAAAAAAATGGATTAGAACTTGAATGGATGAATAGAAAGTATTTCATTAACGGTTGAAAATTTGAACAAGATATATATATATATGTGGGAAATTTCCACATGAACATTGAATAGAGGGCGCTGTCAAGGCAGCCACCGGGAGTTAACGAAGGAGGGAGGATTCAGCCAGCGGACTCTAGACGCGCAGGTCGATGATCCGGGGCTGAAGGAAGTGACGAGAACGGTGTCCGAGTAGGGACCCACCAACCCGTTGTCCAGGAGAGAGACGCGCAGGTCACTCTCAGCGCGAGGGCTTAATCGAATTGTAAATACTGTATTATATGTGTAAACATCTGTCTTAGTGAGTAGAACTGTGTAATTAAACGTTAGATTAGAAACAAACAAGAGTGTGATTATTGAATACCCCTAGAACCGTACAATAATCCCACAAAATATGGGGCACGGCCGCGATATGAACTGTGAGGACTGTTGTTAATATTTCAACAAACGCGATATGAACTGTGAGGACTGTTGTTAATATTTGAATAAACGCGATATGGACTGTAAGGACTGTGAACATTTGTGTGTGCATTTCATTGGATACCTATTTACCTGTGCATGTAGAAGGGAGTTCCACGAAAAAAAAAAGGTAAGATACCTTTTAATATCCTTCTATTTTAATAAGTATAATTGTATATAATATGTCGTTCCACAAAAATACAAGAAAGGAGGACTTAATAAATGTTCTCAAGGAAATTGGAGAACAAGCGACGTCTAAAGAAACAATAATTGAATTGAAAACCAAATTGGAAAAATCCGCAGCCTTTAAAGACGATCCCGATTTTGTGATAAATCTGCTAAATTTGTCCGTCGAGGACAGGCAGGCGAAAGCCGAACGGCAGCTGCAAGAGACCAACTCACAACTAGAGTTAGAAAAAAAATTAAACTACAGCAAATTGAACGAGAAATTGAACTTCAGAAAGCTTTGGCAGAAGGGCAAGCAACACAACAAAGTTCAAAAGGAGATACAATTAATTTAGAAAATTTAATTAAGAGTGTAAAAACGCTGACTATACAAATCCCAACGAAAACTGAAAATTTTGGTCTTTTTTTCCAATCCCTAGAACGGTCATTTAGAGTAAAAAATGTCCCCGAAAACTTGAAAGCGGAAATCCTTATTAATATTCTTGGTGAGAGAGCACACAATGTTTTGCTGTACATAAAAGATGACGAAATAAAAGAGTACGATTTAGTTAAATCATTAATTTTAAAAGAGTTCCATCCCACTGCGCAGGAGTGTTTACTTAATTTTAGAAAAGCCAAAAGGCAAGCAGATGAAACCCATGTGCAATTCGCCACACGTTTAAGTGCGATGTTTAAATACTACTTGAAAATTAGGAACGCTGTTGATTTTAAATCCTTAGTTCATTTAATGATAAGTGATAAATTTTTAGATACTTTAGAGCCAGAAACTGCTTCACATATTAAAATTATGCAGGCGGATCAGTGGATGACGCCAGATGAATTAGGAAAAGCGTGCGATATATTTTTCATTTCGAAAAACAGATCTCTGCATGACTCTCGGAACCCAAATACTTTTAAGAGTAAAAACGAGGATGCTTGTAGTAAGAACCGCGCGAACATGGGTTATACAAATCAATTCAAAGACAGTTTCCAAAACATAACCAAAGTGTTAGATCAGACAAAACAGTATCGTGTTATATTTGTGGAGGCCCGCATTTCGCAAGGAATTGCACGAAGAAAACGATGAACTCAGAAAAGAGAAATACGGATACAGGTCATGCCGTAAATCAAATTGAAACTTCTATTTCTAATCAAAATGACTTTTTATTTAATGAATTGCAGTACATAGATGTAATTGTTGATGAAATCCCACTAAGGGCAACATTGGATTCAGGTGCGAATTCAGTAATTATCAATTCAAAGTACGTTTCGGAAGGAAAAAGAATTCATTCTCAAATCGTGTTGACGAGTTGTTTTGGAGAAAAGAGAAGTGCGAATGTTTCAGAATTTACGATCTCATTGAAGGGTGGGGAAAAGAAAAAAATACTAGCGGCAGTGTGCAGGATCGAGGCAGCAATATTGTTACCCTCGAAGGTTTTTGAATTCTTAAAGAGTGGCTCAGGAGAAGCGGGGTCAACGAACGCGTCGTGCACGCCGGTGTGTTTACAAAATGAAACAGGGGGAGAAAATGACGTGGACCTGACAGGGGGTGTAACTAACTCGGGGAAGATCACTGATGGGTCTAATTTGTTTTTACTTAAGGTATCGGAGACGTTTGATGAATGTTTATATGATGTATCTCACATTTCGAACAGTGGAATAAGGGATAAAGTCCAGACGTTGATAAAAAATTACTGTCCGAATAAAACAGAGACAACTGCTCTGAAAATGAAAATAATTCTATCGGATGAAAAACCCATTGCTCAGAGGTCGCGTAGGCTATCTTTGCCTGAAAAGAGAGAGGTCGAAAAGCAAATAGATGAGTGGTTAGAGCAGGGAATAATTAGAGAGAGTTGTTCCGATTTTTCATCTCCGGTTGTGGTGTGTAAAAAGAAAGATGGAACAATGCGATTGTGTATAGATTACAGAAAATTAAACAAGACAATAGTTAAGGATAGATGTCCACTTCCTATAATTGAAGAGGTTTTAGATAAGTTAGGGAATGGCAAAATATTCACAACGCTTGACTTAAAGAATGCATTTTTCATGTAGATGTTGATGAAGCCAGTAGAAAATATACCGCGTTTGTAACGGAAACTGGCCAATATGAATTTTTAAAAGTGCCATTTGGGTTGTCTATTAGCAGTAACTATTTCCAAAGATACATTAATTACGTGTTTAGAGAGTTGCTAAGAGACGGTACATTAATTATTTATTTAGATGATATAATAATTCCGGCTACTGATGAAAAAGAGGCTTGTAAAAAATTAGCTCGTGTGTTAGAAACCGCGTCCAGATACGGCATTGAACTAAATCTAAAAAATGTCAGTTTTTGCAGGGGAAGATTAATTTTTAGGGCATGTGATCCAGAACGGTATAATTCAACCTTCGGCGGAAAAGACAGTGGCAGTTTGTAACTTTCAGGAGCCTAAAAACGCGAAAGATGTGCAAAGTTTCCTTGGGCTAACAGGGTATTTTAGAAAGTATATCCCTTCATACGCCATGATAGCTAGGCCCCTTAGTGACTTGTTAAGAGGAACAAATCCTTTTGAAATTGGGCATGCGCAAAAAGTAGCTTTTCAAAATCTAAAGAACGCTTTATCCCGTGAACCCGTATTACATCTTTTTAAGGAAGGTGCTAAGTTAGAATTGCATACGGATGCATGCAAACTAGGGTTAGGTGCTGTACTTTTACAACAAAGTGAAGATGGACGTTTCTATCCTATCCATTACATGAGCAAAAAGACTTCCATTCAAGAAGAGAAACTGAGTAGTTATGAACTAGAAGTACTGGCGGTTATAGAGGCTCTGAAAAAATTTCGAAATTACCTACTGGGAAGGAAATTCCGAATTCAAACGGATTGTGCAGCATTTGCGAAAACCCTCGACAAGAAGGAATTAACACCAAAGATGGCTAGGTGGTCGATTTTTCTAACGGATTTTGATTACGAGGTAGTCCATCGTCCTGCAAAACAAATGCAACATGTAGATGCGTTGAGCAGACATCCTGTTATGCTAGTGACTAGTGATGAACTAACATACAAGAACGTGAACGCTCAAGAATCTGATGAATATATTAGGACTATTAAGAAGCTGTTGCAAGAAGGTAAAACTTCTGAATTCATCGTTAGTAATAAAATCCTGTACAAGATAAGTGAGGATCAGGAGTTGCTAGTCGTTCCAGAGATGATGCAAGTAGATGTGATTAAGAAAGCTCACTCATTTGGACATTTTGCAGCGACAAAAACTGAGGAGTTGGTGAAAAGAGATTATTATTTTCCGAACATGAAAAGGTGTATCGAAAACGTTATTAAGAACTGTGTTGAGTGCATATTAGTCAATAAGAAGGGAAAGGGAGAAGGCTTTTAAACCCTATTCCTAAAGAAGATCTACCGCTGTCGACATATCACGTGGACTTTATTGGACCATTACCAACGACCAATAAAAATTATAATCACATATTCACTGTTATTGATGCATTTACAAAGTTTACGTGGTTGTATCCAACCAAAAGCACTACAGCTCAAGAAGCCATTGAAAGACTGAAGTTGCAACAGAAAACTTTTGGGAATCCTTCACGAGTGATTAGTGACAAAGAGGAGCGTTCAGATCTAAAGAATTCGAAGACTACTGTGCTGATGAGCAAATTAGCAATGTGCAAATAACAACGGGAGTACCAAGAGGGAATGGACAGGTTGAGCGAATCCATGGAGTACTAATTCCAGTATTGACCAAGATGTCCATCGAAGACCCGACTAAGTGGTTTAAGCATGTAGATTCACTACAACGTGTACTGAACAGTGTGCCTTCACGCAGTACAAAGTATTCACCATTTGAATTGCTCATAGGAGTTAAAATGAAGAATCCTGAAGATGTCATGATAAGAAATCTGCTTGAAGAAGAGAGTCAAGAGCAACTCTTCCAACATCGAGATAACCTGAGAAGAGAGGCAAAGCAGAACATTTTGAAGATTCAAGAAGAAAACCGAAGAACTTACAACCGAAAACGGAAGGAAGCGCATCTGTATAAGAAAGGTGACTTGGTGGCAATCATGAGGACTCAGTTTGGAAACAAATTGAAACTGCGAATAAAAAATTTTGGACCATACCAGGTGACCAAAGTGAAACCCCATGACCTATATGATGTGGCTAAGATTGGAGACCATGAGGGGCCCAATGTTACGTCAGC